AACAGCTGAAAATCTGAAATTTGGGATAACTGCCAGAGAAGTCAGTTAAATAGAAGAAAGTTGTTAAAATAATTTCCATTTCACAGTCCCATATGAGTAACATAATAAAACATCCCTGTATTGCTGTTTGATCCGTGCCGTTTCTGACAAACAGGTTCTCGAAGTGCAGTTACCAGTTTTGTGGAGGGATCTGCCACACCTCTATGCAGTATTGTGTGTGCCACCCCTCTGTCTCTTGCTGTGATCCAGTCATTGTTTCAAGATTAGCAACCTGGCCTCTGTTACCATGTAAAACATTTGATAACATTTTTGATGTTGTCCACTCATTTGACACTGATCATCCAAAACAATTGTAGGTGTGTAAAATTCTCTGTGTAACATATTTCTGGATTCTCATCTCTTGACAGTAGAGCTCCAGGGTGCACTCAGACTGCCTGGCACTAAGCATACCCAACAGGCATGCATTTAATCTGGGGGCAGTAAGAAGGCAGTAGACTGAAGGAGTCAAGGTCCTTCCCACATAACTGTTCACCTCCATCTTAAGTCCCATGAGATCAGCTCTCTTTGAAGAGGCAACAGAAGAATAAATTACACAACAAACACAAATTAACCTGGCAGACAGACCCTACAAAACTTTAACAACATGGTTGAGATATGGGTTCCTGAATCCCAAACAAGCTCTACAGCCTTCCCCTAGAAACTTGTGCTAAAGAGAGAAAGGAAATGCTATAAAAAAATAAGGGCATGTACTGAAAGCACCGTGCGTCTTGGTTTCCCAGTATCTAGTTGCTAACTGAATGGCTTTTAAGGTTAAACAAAAAGACATATGAAATCTTTCTAACTGTATTTCTAGGACAGCGTAGCCCATGTGCCCCACGGTTGAAAATGGGAAAGGTGAGATAAATGTTCTTCTGGAAGTATAGACTAGAAAAGAAATTTTCTTTGCTTCTAACACATTATTGGTATAGCCTGAGCTCTGTCCTTACTCAGAACTGTTGCAGTTGACTTCCTTTCCCAATTTGTCACCTAAAAACTTGAATTTTACTAGACAACATTATAAAAACCTGTGTTTATGTTCATAAATTAAGTTTTCAGCATTAATCTCAGACCACTAAATGTTCTGTGATTGACCCTTTGTGGAAGAAAGTAATATATCTGGCATTCAATTGCTAACCTTTGGGTTTTTATCTCAGTCTTTAAACAAATACGATTTTTCTCTGTCACAAATTAATATAAAAAGGAAAACACGATAGGTATGGTTTCATCTTCACTCTTGTACATTGCGATGCAGGATTTTAACTCTTCTTACTGACTACACAGTTTACATTTTAAACTTATTTATGCTACTCCATGGTCAGAAAGACAAGTTAATTATGCCAGTGCTGGTAAACATGGGATGTCCTTCATATAAAGCTAAATGTTTCCCAATTAGATACATAGAGGCATCTCAGGATTTGGTGCCTTAAAGCCGAGTTGTACAGCCCTTCAGAGAGCTGTTCCAAAGGACTTCCAAGCTGGTTAATTTTGGTAAATATCCAGTATGGCTTCTTTACAATGTTTTTCTCAGGCTGCAGAAACCAGCCTTCTCTGGAAAAGCTGCTCTCCTAGTTTAAACACCCATTCTCCATCTGCTAGCCTGTATGCTAGCTCAGGACTCCACAGGTTCTCTCTCATCCCTTCCACACCTCCCAGACATGTTTGGCACAGCCTTTTGGGCAGCCAGCCCTTGCCCCCAACCTGTCACTGCAGCGCCCAGCACTGCCCTGCCCAGGAGCCAGGTTGCTGCTTCACAAAGGTTGGAGTGCTTTGATCTCAGCTGCTGCCTTCTGCAGGCAGGGCTTTCTTTGAAGCCCTTTCACCATCATCTGTACATAATCTAAATCAACATATAGCATTCCCAAGCCTGCAGGCTTCCCCCATCCATTTGTTGCTTACAGATTTCCAAACAGCTGAAATGGGACACTTGGAAGGTATATCGTAAGGAGGTGTGTTAGGCAGGCAGCTATGGTCTGTGAAAAGTGGAAAAACAACTTTGCCAGATGCAGCAGAAAAAGGACTGTGGTCTTTTATTCAGGCCTGCATGGTGATCTGACAAATACCCAATGAGATGCACATTAAAATTATAAAATAAAAAAAACGCACACTGCAATACTGGTTGGGTTTAAAAATGAGCAATCCTTACAAAATCACTGTGGCAAGTAAATACTCCACCAGAATTTTCTGTTGGGAAGAAGGCCAGGTATTGCATTTCCCTTACAAATGGTAGATGTTTCTAATATAAATCCAAATAAGCCCGAAAATCTGTATTGGCCACATGCTAAAAATGTTGCCACAAAAAAGTTCTCCCAACTGCAAAAGGAAAGGTGTGACAGAGCCATTGCACTAAGCTTCTTGTAAACAAACTGGTGATTATTTTAAAAACAAAACAGCACAACACAAACAAACCTCTGACTTTAATGTCATACTCTCCATAATGGATTATGCAGAACTTTGGCAAATAAAACACCACATGAGCAGCTATTGTATTCCCAGTGTAACATGATGTAAGGAGGGTTTACCGCCACATGGCTATGTGCTGATCAGTTAAACATTCTTGCCTGTGGAAACTACGAAACGTTGCAACAGTATAGACCAGTTTGCCCTGACATTGACAGTACAGATACATGTTCATCTATCAAAACTTAAAGGGAGTAACCATCCAATTACAAAATATAGAAAGTGGTTTTATTTAATGTTGTTTTTTTTTTTTTGTACCACTCATCAAAGTTTTAGTAGTACTGAACAGCTGCAATATTTGACTTGCACAAACCAACGGTTTGGTCACACAGAGTAGATAATAGCTGTGAGAGGTCCTGTGGTTAGAGCAAAATAAGAGTGCCTGATAGAAACCAATGGAACATAGTTCTTGTAAGTGAACATCTAAATTCTGTTTAAAAAAATAAAAAAGTCTTGGTTTTTAACTGCTGTTTGTGTATGCTTTGTGTTAGCATAATAAAAATACTTGAAAGAGTATCCTATCTGCAGTTACACAATTTCAGTATCATAGTAACAATTAAGTTCATTGAATGAAAGATTTTTTGAAGCCCAGTAGATTTTAAGTCTTGTAGTGCTCAAGGGATTTAGATACTACATAGCTTGTCTTAACCATCTGAGCCTTTGGGCTGCAGTAATGGGCATTTTTAACAAGCTGTCCTTGCGCTCATGCAAGAGAACACCATTGCCGTTGATTGACCTTTAGATAACAAGTACCTCTTCCATGGTTAGGTGCAGTTGTACGACATAAAGTGGTTTTAAAGCTTTCCTAACTAAACTAAAAGAATATAGACAAACCTTGGTATCAGAGTTGGATTTTATGTACATTATACATACTTCAGAGCATTCACAGTATTTACTGCATTTTCTTTCAAACCCACTTATGCTAGTGCTGCAACAAAAGATGAAGCTCAGACTGTTGAACACTCTTTAAACATTAAGAGCAATTGACACTACATTTAGATTAACTTTGTTTAATTAGATTTTAATTAGATTTTAGATTTTGTGTTTAACTAATTTAGATTATTTTTTGTTAATTTTTCTTCTACCAAACTGGAATGGTTAGTAGGAAACTAAATCCTGCTATGAGAATGAAGGAAGCATTAAGAAGGGTGGTGAAGTGTATCAGTATTGTTCTGTAAAGCTACCCAATAGAGAACAAAAGAGTGAAAGCCTAGGTTCCAAATCTGCTAAGATTTTAAACAGAAGCACCTTACTAGCACAGCAGAAGTTCTTATTTTTACTAGGAATAGTCCTTACCCAACAAAAGGATCCCATTAACTGCCTGTTTATAGAAGGTCCAAACAAACTGTATTAGCAGGTTTTTTTTATTACTGTAATTCATAGTCCTGCTGTATAAAAAATACTGTATACCTACTGCCACAGAGTCATGGAAAACAACAGGATTGACTGCCTCTTCTATTAAATAATTCTATTTTGGTTATCATCTAATATTTAGCTGAAATTTGTCATTACTATTTAATGTGATTTTTTTTTCATCTCCACTTAAAATATTAGTCTCTTTTCATAAACTTACCATTGCCCATTTCGTAAAATGGATATTTATATCCCTGTATTTAGAATCATAGAACAGTTAGCATTGGAAAGGACCTTAAGATCATCTAGTTCCAGCCCTCCTGCCATGGGTGGGGACACCTCACAGTAAACCATGTCACCCATGTAAACCATTTCTGCATATCCATTAAAATAATTGATTTTGTCATCTTCTGAAGTCAGTTGGACTGCAATCGATTACCCAGGCTTTAGCATACCACTTTAAAATTTCTTTTTGTTAATAACTTAAAAGCTGCTTTGTCATATTCACCAGCTGTCCATCACTTGTAAATAGTAACATTTGACTGATCTCTGCTGAATTTGACGCACATACACAGACACACAACCTGATGTGACCTGCTATTAGTCAATCTTAATTCTTCTCTAAAGAAAAGTTGACTGATAACTATAGAAGATTTTATTACTGCAGTTTCAGAAATGGAAGTATCCAGAAAACTTGCTAATTAAGTAGGTATCTAGTATTAAAAGAATATTTTATCAAACCAAATCCAAGTTCTGTAAGTAGGTTGAAAGAGCCAAGAATTACTGGAGTTATTTGTTGTGTCTATAACAGCCTTGAACAGGAGGAGTTGTCTGGAGACACCTATGCTGTGCCTTTCAGTTACCTCATTGTCATGAATATGTATGTGCTTATGTATGTTTGTTTTTCAAGTGTTTTAGGGATTTTCCAACATGGATTATGGTATGTGCAAAGTGTAATACTAAGAGTAAACTGGACTTTCTCCCCCTCTCTTGCTCAACTGTTACTGAATTAAGTTCCTTATTAATCCTCTGTTACTTAGCTGCATCAAGGCTTAGCACTAAAATGTTTCTTTTTAAAAGAGACACACTGATGAATTCTGCCTTCCGGAAAACATAAAAACAGTTGTTTTTTTTTTTTCTTTTTTTCATAGTGAATGAGATTATAGGAAGAGATATGTCACAGATCTCAGTGTCACATGGAACAGCAGTGGCCAGCCAGTCTGCACGAACATGTCCTGGATCTCTGGAGGCAAGAATATCTGATGGAATCCAGTAGCGGATAAGCTTGCAACTAAACGTCCATGAAAACATTACAGTTTCTCTGGATATTTCTTCGTCCTTTTCCTCTTTAGACTTACTGTGCTTCCAACTCTGTGGCCTTTATGAACTGGAACAGTGGATCCTTGCAAAGCCCTTTTAGTGGGTTACATTTTTGATGTAGAGACAGAGCGTTTTAATTATAGTTCCTCAAATGCTGTAAAGAGACTTCGTAAAATGGACACACAGAATCTACACCAGATATTTTAACTCTTTCAAAGTTATAAACAAGCTTTGCTTTTTTCATTTAAATAGAATACTTTTATATTGTAAGTGCTTCAGATGTGTGGAGATGTTAGTTTGCTCTTATATTATTCACAGTACTGAATGGGGAAAAAGATCTAATACACATCTTCAGTGTGCTGCTTTCCCTTAGAGGTAGTATAGTTTGTAACTGATGATTTGTAACACCTTTCGGTCATTTTTGAAAGCCTTTAAAGCTTCTATTGTTTAATTATTTTTTTTACTACAGTCTTCCAGTGGCAAATCATACCTGTCATCTGAAGCCAATGCCATGGAAGCCATTGTGTATGCAAATACTGTAGTGTTTTCTTTCTTAGATTCATAGGAAGCAAAGCCAAATGTAGATCTGCACTGTTTATAAACTGAAAATATTACTTGATAGGCTGCAAAAAGACCATTCCATCATGAAAGTGTTGGGATAGAAATGACATTCCAAAATTTAGCTTTTATAACTTTGTGGATAATCTTCCTGTTCTTTATTAGCACAAGCTCCTTCTTGAAATAGCTTTTTCTTAGTTAAATTTGTAATCAAATTTAAGCAGTAGGACTTTAGATTAAAGAACAGCAACATCAAAGCCATGATACAGGAGAAATTTCAATATTTGCTGAGGATCTAGGTGTTCCTGTTATCCCTGCAAAATAGTTTTGAAATCACCAATTCAGTGGTATTCAAATTTTCCATGCAATAAATGGTTTGATCACATCTCTATCTTTTATATGCTGTATGCCTGACTATGCCACTTGGAAGTGCTGAGGAGATGACAGTTACAGTTCCTTAAATTTAAGCTGTTTATAAACGTCAGTTTGCTAAAAAGTAATTTACTGTGAATTAGGGATTCGGGAGTGTAATTTCACCCTTGTTTAATTGTGAATGTGAAAAGCAGAAGCTACCAAAGAAACACACAAAATTCATAGCAGCAGTAAACTTTGTGATGTGTTCAAAGGGTGCATTTCCTTTACATGCATAATCTGATGCATTTAAGACAATCTGTTTACATAGTTATTAAAAATCTCAGGCCCCTATGATTAGAAACCTAGGAGAGGATCTGAAACTGCCCATGCAGCCCACAGATGTTTCTGTCCCCCAGAAGACACTGTCATTTACAAAGCTTGCTGACATGGAACGCACAGGGTACAGCAATCGTGGCAAAGTACGATTAGAAATACACTGAACATCCAGATACTGAGGGTGTTAGTTCTAGTTCCCCATTTGGGTGAGCCGTGATGCTCTAATGAAAATCAAGACCAAATACACTCAAAAATTTCCAAATATAGGAAGTGTATTTGCACTGAAACTAGTTCAGACAATTGTGGACCTTTTAGTGGTTTAACATGTGGAGCACATGACTCTTTCTGTAGAAAATTTTACAGAGATTCTTGAAATGTCAGTAAAACGGTCTTAAAGTGGATACTAGAACTGCATTCTAGTACCAGTGAGAGCAAACATGTATTCTACTGCTTTTGCATTTTGGCAGATGGTCCCAGGAAAACTTTCTATTGAGCCTTTTTGCAGGCACAACATTACACCTATATTTAAGTCAGCACCCAAGCAATACCATTAAAGTAGGTGTAACTGCATCTTTCTAATAAGCTGAATCATGAACTTTTTAGAAGACCATGTATTAAGCGGGTGAAATTATAACTCTTTAGTATATACTTTCTTGTAAGAGTGCAGCCTAAGGCTACTATCTTGATGTTTCACAGTAATTGCAGACAACTTAATGCAAGGCCACAATGTGCATGCTAGGAATCTTGAACATCCGTTTTGTGAATACATTGTTCAATGGTGCGAATCTTCAAATTTGCAAGAAAAAAATGGGCAGGGTTGTAATCTGAAAAGTGTGTTGTATTAGTCGTCCCTCAGCGATGGTGCTTTACTCTGTCCTCTACTCATTTATGTTTAAGATCCTAGAGAAGGATTCACGTGCTCAGAAATACATCTGCTTATGTTTTTAACACCTTCAAAACAAAACAAACCACACAACACTGTAATTGATGTAATTGTTTTCGGACTGTGTGCTGGTGGCAAGGCATGTTCCAATTTTCATTCGTGTGTTGGGTCTTTTGCATTAACCGTTGTTTGTAGGAGAATTCTAACTGAACAAATTTCCATACTGTATGGGATTTATGCTCCCCAATCCCACTGGTACAGACTCTTATTGCAAGTTCTCCAAGTAGCTGGAATTCACACTGTACCTAAAATATGGGAGCCCAAACAATCCGGAGTTGCTATGCACTAAATTTTCTGATGCCTTTAAATACCTTGATGCCTGTAGACATAGAGATGCTTTCCTATTTAAAAATGAAATAATAAAAAAAAAAAAAATACAGCTTTGGATACTAAAGCAGTCTTGTATTTGCCTTGTAAAAGCTTCAATACAAGGGACTTAATTTTATTTTAGCTTGTGTGATAACATAGGTAAAGACTGTTAATCTTGTATAATTTTAGTGATATAAAAAGCACACAATCTCTATTGGACTATGCAAATTGAATTAAACCACAGAACCCGACAACTGTTGATATTTTGTTGGCATCCACTTCCTTACCCTTAAGTCCTTTCTTCTCCCTCAATATTTTCCAAAAGTTTTTAATAATTTAGATGATTATTCTGAAGGAAAGCCTTAATGATGAAGTAGCTTTTCTATAAGTAGGGTCAGAGGTTAATGTTAAAAACAAAATGTAATATTCATCCAGGAGGAAGAAGGGGTGATTCTGAAATCACCACAAACTAGCAATCTGAATTTCTGTAGTAAAACTTGCTTACATGTTATCAGGGGAACTGCCATCCTTTTTAAACCAAAGAATGAAAATAACATCGCAGTTTGTTCTTATACAAACAAAGCTTTGAAACTCTATTTTTGATATTCATAATGGATGTCGTTCCTTGAGGTTCAGAAATTGTTCAAATTGAAGTTTTATATTTAAAAATGTGGGACAATAAAGATTAAGTAAGTTCTAGATGTTTACAGAGCCTTGTATTGTAATTTCATGTACATTTTGTATTTTAAACATTTTTGTAAGTTATGATTGCAGTGCTACTTGCAGAAATAAAGGGAAAAGCTCGCATTTAGGCTCCTAAATCATAGTGTTCAAATAAATAAAAAGAATGCAAATGCATTGTCATTTATTTAAATACAGAAGCAAACACAGGGTGGGAAGAAATTCCGCATTTGCAATGTAGCTGTAAACAGCTGTGCGCAGTTGTGCCGTAGGAGATGTAATACTTGCCCTAGAAAAGTGGTGATTCCAAAGCAATGATGAGAAGAGTTTGAGGCTCAACTGAGAGCCAGCACAGTGAGCACATACACATGTAATGAACAGCCACTAGTGCTGACAGTGTACCAGTTTTCAGAATAACTGGTGATCTCCTATTTGCATTTTTCATTGTTTCAATTAGATGATCAGAAAGTTATTCTGAGAAATTACTCCAGAAATCACTGTTCAGAGAGCACATCATAAACAGTAATGGCCATTCCTGAAAGGTATTACCATAGAGAAGATGCAGTTAAATTGTTTCAGAAATAGATGTAAAATTCCTGTTACTCTGCATAATTTGCCAAATCTCAGCTGGACCAGTAGAACTGAGGGAAATGCGTTTGGAAATAGTACAGTTGAGTCAGGCCTTAAAAGCTCTCTCTCGATATTAGTGCTAGTGAAAAGACTTCTATTTTATCTCGCCTGCAGCTCTGTTTACAGGGTCCTTTACTTCTCTGTGGAAGTAAATGTAAATGTAGACAAGTGTTCTAAACTCATCACTGAAGCAGAAGCTCTGGCCTTTGGTTGGCAACACATACCAGCCCAAGCGCAAAAAGGAACAGTGATCACACAGCGATCTACACACATTGCCCAGGGACAGCACAGGCCAGTTTGGTGTTAGCCTCTTACTTAGAGTGCACAACCCAGCCGATTACCTTCACCAATGTTTTTTATCTATAAATACAGCAGAAAGGGGTGGCTGCAGTGCCAGTAAATGAATGCAAAGTAATTTTATCTGCTTTACTAAAAATAGCACACACTGTTCCACGTTTTCTAGTATGATCACCCACTATGTAATTAGCATGTATCAGCACTAGTAATAATCCATGGATTGCCAGCATACACTTTAGTGTCAGTTTAAGTCTTCTTTCAGATGTAAATAGGCTGAAGGCTGACTCACCAAGATTGAGGGGACAGATGAGGTGATAGGATGTGCAGTAACACCAGGGCATTTAAAGCAGTGTGGCTAACCCTGAGCATTCACACTGACACATAGATTTGCAATACTTTATCCCAGGCATTGTAAAAACACTGCTTCTACCTTGCAGAACACTGTTTTGTAATTTCAGGTAACAGAGAGGAGGAACGCTAGTTGCTTTAGAAGAGTAGCCAGAAATTCCTCTTCATTTAAGACCCAAACCCAAAGTAAGTACGGGCAGAAATCAAGGCCTTTTACTTCTCTTACTGTAGCTAGTATTTCTTTACAATATTCCACTGCATTACTTGTGCTGCCTACTCGCAGTGTTGCTGTATGCCCCAAATCCAGCGCTTGTTCTACCGTAGGCAATGAGGGAAGATGATTGAGATATTTTACAAATGGTCCCCCCACCTTTTTTATTTATTTGGCCTTTGGCTTTAATTAATTTACAAGAAGAATATTCAGGAACTAGCTACTGCTGTAGTGATTAAATTATTAAGGTATGTGAAAGGCCATTAAGAGTGTCCTCTTAACATAGAAAAACAACATAGAACAGAAAAAGTATTTTAATACATTTAAAATGCTGCATAGTTTTGCATACTGACTTCTCTGGTAATGGAAGTTTATTCTGCCTGCTGAAAAGACTAATGTTTATCAGTCACACCTGGCACACAAAAAGCATTGTGGTTTGCCAAGATTTTCTAAGAAACAAATTATTTTATGATAACCTACTGTTACCTTGTTACCTGTAACATCTGCTACATGTAAAGAGAGCAGAAGGTTAAAAAATGAGCAGACCTTAAGATTAAGGGGCAGCACAAATAGGATGCTTGCTTTGCAAAGGCTTGTACATACCATGAATTTTATTTTAGAAAATATTGTCAAGCTATACAAGTTATCTGAGCTGTGTCTGAAAACGGAGTGATTTTTTATTTGTTTGTTTGTTTATTAGTATTAACATTTATTATCTTTAAATATTGTCTGAAAACAGAAAAAAAAACCAAGCCAACAGTTAACCAACCTCACCCCTTACTTACTGTCGCCGTTGTGACACCTGCTGGTAAGAGCTGGAAGAGTGTTCGTAGTCCGTGCTCCCATTGCAAAGGCTCACCCTGCCCGCCCCCCCCCCCCCCCCCCCCCCCCCCAAAGCCATTCTAGGACATTTCTCATTTGACACCTTTATTCATAAAAATACCCAGTTAAGTGTTGGCACAACTGTTGTATATCACAGAGAAGTGCCTACACTTCTAGAAGGAAGACAGAAGAAAACTATGATCATGCT